TTGATGTACCGTTGGAATGCTGCTGGTGCATTGGTTAATCCGAAAGGCATAACCAGATATTCGTAATGTCCAAACTTGGTCTTGAATGCAGTTTTCCATTCTTCTCCTTCCTTGATTCTCAGTCTGTTGTACGCGTCCGTAATATCGAGTTTCGTAAACCATTTCTTTCCTCGTATTTTGTCTTGTATTTCCGAAATCAGGGGTAATGGGTGACTGTCTCGTATAGTGATTTTGTTCAGTTGTCGGTAGTCTATACATGGTCGTAGGTCAGTAGTCCCCTTCTTTCCCACAAAGAGTACGGAGTATCCTGCTGGCGAGCTTGAGGGTCTGATGTATCCCTTTTCCAAGCTTTCATTCAGGTACTTCTTAAGTGCTGCCGTCTCATTTTCTGACATGGGGTAGATTCGTTGAGGTCTTGGTTCTTCGTTTTCTTTCAATGGGATGGTATGGTCCCATTCACTGTGTTCAGGTAATTTCTTGTATGTTCCGTTGAACAATTCCTTGAATCGTTCATATTCTTTAGGTAGTTCAGGTTCTGCGGTTGCCGCGATCTGACACTCCTCTTTCAGGTGTTCGGTAATGGCCTCCCCTTTGGTCCCATTCCGTATAAGAGTCCACGAGGAAGTCAAGTCGTCTGCTTCTTCCGTCGTACTCAAGTCTCCCGCCTGTCCGGTGACTTCATCTACCTGAGATATCTGTCCACAATTACAACGATTCATTTTGATTTCGCCAGTTCCCCAGTTTATCTCCGGGTTATGAACCTTGAGCCATGGGATTCCAAGAACTATGTCGTTTGGTCCCAGTTCTGCGACGTCAAAGTTGATCATCTCGTGATGGTTTCCTAATACCATGGACAACCACCCTGTTTCATGTGTGACTCCCCCTTCTTGCAGGCTCACCCCGCTGAGTCCTGTGATGGGTACTGCTTGGGGTTTCTTCCTTCCCAAGATTTTCAATGTTCGTTTTGTTTCTTTATCCATGAAGTTGTGCGTTGCTCCCGAATCGACCATTGCTTCGATCTCTATTCCGTATATGGCCACTGTGGTTCTTAGTTGCCTTCCACAAGCCGTTGCGTTGAGTTCTGCCCTTTCGTATGCACAGTTGTCCGCATGCTGCGGCCATTTCCCTTTTGGAAATTCCCCAGCCCTAATTTTAGGGTGTACGTGCGTTATACATTCGTCATTGTAGCAGATTTTCCATGATAACATCCGATGCTTTGGATGTTGCTCAAGCTGTAAGCAATTGCACCATGCCGTCTGGCATTTCCATTCCTTCATTTGTTTCGTTACGCTCATTCTTCCTTCTTTCTCATACCATGGTGTTATGATGCACTGCATCCTTTCAATTCTGGTGAGGTCATGGTTGGTATGGACACATGGCTGATTCTTCGGGTCTTCGCCATAAGGTAGTTGAATGTAGTCGTTCATCCAGGCTTTTACGAATCCATCTCGTGGATCATCGTCTTTTCTGCCTATTTCGGGGTTACGAGTTTCTTCGAAACTCCCAGCTTCACTGAGCTGCACCACCTTTTTCTTCGAGGGGCTGATGGTGTTCCATTCCTGCGTCAATTTCCATTCGCAGTTTGATATCTTCGCTTGCTTCCTCTTTCTTGGGAAGTAGCCCTGGCTTTCTTTTGCTTCCCCATGGATTGTGCATGAATCCATTGTGCAAAAGGTCCAATGTAATAATCCGTGCCCTGGGTGGTCTTTCTCTTCAAAGATTACCCTGCACTCGGCTCCACACTTGTTCTCGAGGTGTGTCCGAACTTCGTAAAGCTTCTGCTTTCCTTTTTCTTTGTCAGCCGTCTTTGAACTCTCGATGTCGTTCAGAGCTTCGTTCAATTGGCTTTCTATCTTTTCGACCTGACTCATCCCTTCGTACTGTCGCCACCCTTGGCTTTCTGGGATTTCGTCCATTTCTGGGAACTCTTCGGTGTCTCCCGATTCATACTGTTCCGCGTCGTCATAGTCGTATTTCGGGTAAGACTCTCTGTCTTCCTCATTTGTCGCATTCAATTGTCGTCCTTGTGGTTTGACTCTACACTCTCTCCTGAAGTGGCCCGTCTTCCCACAGTTGTAACACTTTATCTTTGACTTGTCGAATTTCGTTTTTGGCTGTTCTTGAGTGGCATCAAGTTCCATAGGTCGAGGTCCATACGGGTCCTCCCTTTTCTTGTGGTGGTATGGTTTCTTGCCACTGCTCCAGTTTCCGCCGTATTTCTTTTCCATACGTCGTTCGTAGAGCCTATTGTCGAGTTTGACTGCTACATCAATCATGTCCGTGAGATTGTCTGGCCTAGTGGGTATTCTGGCTATCTCATCCTTGATGTCGTCTTTCAGTCCTTGGTAGAATCGATCTGCTTTGGCCTCATCATCCCATCCGAGATGAGAGCTGATCTGGTAGAATTTCGACGCATAGTCTGAGGCTGATGTGATCTGCTTCAGACGTTGAATTTTCTGAGCTGCGTTATTTCTCTCATCGATTTCTCCAAAGGTTGATTTGATTTTTCTGACGAATACATTGTAGTCCGCAAAGGTTTCATCGATCTCGTCTTCCCTGTCATCTGGGGCTATCTCAAACCATGCCCGTACATAGGGTTCAAACCAATCCATAGCTTCTCCTTCTAGGAACGTTGAAGCTGTCAAGACCTTGTCTGGTTCCCCATGCAGCAAGTGCGAGTTGACAGAAAAGTACAACTGCATTTGTGCTAGGTAACTCCTCAGCTTGGTCCTATCTCCTTTGAACGGAGTTGGTTTGTTGATCTTAATCCTTGCGTGTGATGCATTCTCCAATTGGCTAATTCGTTCACGTAATTGTTGATTGACTGCCATTACGGATTGAACACTGGGTGTTTGTCCTCCAGTGGTACTGGGTGTTGGAGTTGCATTGTTGCCTGCCATGATTAGTAGTCTTGTTGGGGTAATACTTTCCTAATGTAGTAATTGGCCCTGCTTGATAGTACTTGTCCCGTATCGTTCCTCGGGGTCAAGACGATAGTTCTTTTGTCACGCACCGGGACCCACTCTAGTTGTCACTGGCTGTGTCGAGGAGCGATACGATGTGTTGAACCACACAGAGGTTCCTTGAGGGTAACTAGTAACGAAGTACAAAGGTTGCCGAAGGGTAAAGGTGAGGGTAAGACACAACTAAAGTAGGAGCGATGCCTTGAAGTGCCGTAGTACTTCAAGTGGGATTGCCTTGCTGACCCTTACAGTGTAACTGATAGTAATAATCGTAGTGACTTATGTTAAAGAACTATGCTAAGGTAAACTAGATACATGCAAATGGGTGTGTTTATATAGATGTCGTTCCTACAATATCCCTACAATCTGTCCGTATACAGATTGTATATCCAATCACCTTCTTGTCTTTTCCTACACTTCTCCTACACTCTTATTGTATACCCGAGTGTAGTTGCTTATGTAATGTGTAATCCCGTGTGAGTAGCAAACGGGCTGTGTGTGGTCGTGGTAACTGGTTGGCCGTGGTGTTAGCCGCTTTAACAGACACTTGCCCTGAAGTGGCTTAAGACATCCTAATCTGTCCTTAGCTTTGCATATGTTGGTTTCGTAACACCCTGGGACCGCTAACGAAAATTAAGCTTTAACCCTAGTTCTAATCGATTCCTACCCAAATCAATTAAGTATTTTAGTTAGATAGATGTGAGGCCTGGCAGCAGCAAGGGCGCTGCAGGCTCACAGAGGCTTATAAGCGTGCCAACCCTGGAATTGAGCAATGGCCCAATTACCTCAGTGTTACTTTTTGGCATTTAGAGATTGACAGTGTCAAGGAGCCTTACAATAGGATTTAAATCAAAAAAATTGATTAAACTTTATATATCTAGTATAATGCTAATGTTTGTCTGTAAAATTAGATTAATCAACTGATCAGTTGATTATGCATTGATGATAGGGATAAAGGATTAGTATCAGTAAGGATCTTTGAAATTCCAATTTAAATGGATACTGACAGTGCTATGTCTTCTTAAAGTTTGAATATCAAAGAATGATAATTAAAAGAACGTCTATCTATTATATAAGTGTTTACTTTATTTATTCTCTCTTTAAATTATATAACAATCGTTGTTGGGAGATATTATCGAAAGCCTTTAATATATTATGGAGTAGTGAAGTCAGGTTTCTGTCGGCCTATGTTCTGTGTATGCGTTGGAGATGTATAGCATGATCCGTTGATGTGAGCTTCTGGCCCCCTGTTGACGAAATGGACTGCAGCAGTTCGGTATAGGATGCTTGTTGTGTAGCCTCCATATGGTACTGTCCGTAGATTGCTTCTGTGTCAACGCGATATACTTCCCACCATCTCACATATAGCAGGGTAATCCACACCTTTTCCAATACACCGTTCAGGATCAAGGTACTTTACAGTGAACTTGAACGACAATACTTCCTTGTAAAAAATTTGATTTTCTGCCGAAAATTTACTTTGTTTCTATGTTAACTCTTTTTATTATCATCATAACAATTAATTAGTTTATCTAATAAAGCTAGTTATTAACATCAAATAAAGTTTATACTAGATTATAATGTAAAATTATTGATCATCAACAGGATTTAAGCTGCGCCCAAGGAGCCTGTTAGATGTGTAAATACTTTTTAATTTCTATATTATATGATTTCATTCGTTAGAAATGATAGTAGTTGCCGTAGGCAGTGTAAAAACTTATACTGAGAACGTTGCAGCATGGTGTTGAGATACTCAGATATATTTCAAAAGTAATTGTTTCATAGGTTTCAATAACTAAACAAGGGTTGAGTGGAAAGCACAGAAATCCGGGGACTTTCGCAGATCAGATAAATAAACCCATATTCAAATATTCACTTGATGTGGGAGAAGCCTTTTTGTCGAATGAAACCAGTAACAACCTGCCAACTTTGGGAGAAGAAAGAAAATCCTAAGAGCGAAGGTTCCCTAATATTTCTCACTTCAAAATCCCGTCATAGCTGTTGAAAGATAATCCCCTACTGTCGCTAGGGTGTATCCTATAACATCTTAGAGAACCATTCCCTAGAATGTACGGCTGCAACGTTAGTATCAGCTCGGTCTGAGTACAAACTCATGTGGCTGACACCGGGAAGAATCTGGACCTGCTTGGAGGGAGACGGAATCTTGTTGAATGCTTCGATTTCCAAGTCCCAGGCCGTAATATTATCTCCCTCAGCTACAATCATCATCACATTCGTGTTTATAACGCGTGGTAAGAAAGGTGATACGGAATAATTCAACAGTAATTCAGCTGATTCCATCGTGCTCCAGTGCTCATGCAAAGGGGCCTCTGTTTCTTTCACCTGTGTAAAGACCTCATTGACACGAGGAAAGGGCCACACAGATAGCTCATCGTAGGGTGTGCGAGAGGCCATGGCGATCTTCCCTTCATTCTTACCAGCTGCACGGGCTTTTTGATCGTGAAGAATAGCGGCTTCCAGATCTGCGAAACGCCGTTCGCCATGTGCGCGGCGTAAATTATTGTAACCATCAACCACAGGCACAATACTGACAACGGCCTTGATGCGTGGGTCAATCGCGGCTAATATCAGAACATGCCCGCCGCTGTATGATATACCTAGGCAGCCCAACCGCGAAGGATCAACATCATCTCGACCCTCTGCGTAGGTCAAGGCGTTGCGATAATCCGAAATCTGTTGCCAGGGATCAAGATGCTGGCGGCGTTTGCCCGAACTCTCCCCAAATCCAGCATAATCGAAAGCCAGAACTTGCACACCGCCCTCATTCACGATTCTAGCAATATGTGGAAGGACAATTTCTTTTGTATAACACCATCCACCAGCACATATCACCGTAGGTAGCTTTCCCTGGGCATCGTCAGGACGGAAAAGTATGCCTGCAATGGTTTCCCCATCACTCGGAAATTTGACGTTCAATTGCATAGTGCCGTGATTTGTAGACGAAGAATAGTTTGTTTCCAAAACTTAGAAGAATGAGCTTAATGGTACTACAAATGCAAGCATTGACATTTGATCACCTTTTATACCCTCAGGTACTAAGAAAGAATCGTCTTGACATATCTCCTCATTTCCCGATTGCCACAGCATTGGCACCTATCATCGCTTCGTCATACAACTACCTCTCTCCCCATTCCTTTCTTTGTTTATCCGATTCGGTTCAATTCGGCCCGAATAGGGTGAAATTTACGTAAACCTTGGGATTTGACTTCGGTAACTTCGAATGTGAGAGGCACTTCAACGTAATGTGGGGAATAGAGTGGGATCGGTCGTTCGGCCTTATAAATCTGCATTCGGCCCGACTCCTCTTTCCAATCTTATTTTCAGTTATCCAATTGTGTGTATGGATTGTATTCCCCATACTTCTCCAGGTTTTCCCCATGTGGGATGCACCCCCTGTTTATGGGATTATTGTAAACGATATGGCTCCGCACTCTTAGAGTTTATTGACTAGTGTGGAAAGCATACATTGACACCTGCAATTATAAAAATTAGGGAACTCTCACTCATTGTCCTCCTTTTCTCGCAATGAAACACACGGATCTTTTGATATATTACAACGTGAAACATGGTTACCAAGCTACATGCTTCTCGAGAGCACAATGAAGTGTCTGGTTCGGTGAAAGCAAACGCCTATAACCTGACAGTCGTCCTGTTTGCCTCACTTGGATCATTCTCCTATGGCTATAGTTCGTCTATTATTGCATCAGTATTTGGACTTCCTTCCTTCTTTAGTTATTTTAATCTCTCCCTTATCGGGCCAAATGCTACTAAAGCAAACGATATCATTGGCGGTAATATTTTTGTTTAATGTTACCATCTCTCAAAGCTAACAAGGTGATAGCGGCAAATGGTCTCTTCTATGGGGGCGGTATTATCGGAGCTCTTACTGTTAATTACGTCCTAAACAAATTTGGCCGATGCAAATCTATCCAGTCAATATGCGCCATCTGCATCGTCTCGTCTGCTATCCAAGGAGGCGCTATTCATATCGCAATGATCTTGGTAGGCCGGTTCCTAAGTGGCATAGGTGTGGGGATGATGCAGGTAGTCATACCTGCATATATGGTAATGACACATTATTCACCCAACGTATTGAATATCAATTCTTCAAAGTACTTACTATCTAGCACAGTCAGAGCTCTCCCCTGCAAAACAACGGGGCCGAATGACTGGTAACAACCCCATTCAGGGACTCGATATGATCTGGATACCCGCTAAATTATTGAAAAGGATCACACGGAGTTTTTATTGTGGTTGGATATGTGAGAAGCTTACACTCCCTATATATCACCCCGCCCTGTTCTTGGCTGACCTGGTAACTTTCATTAGACTGTAGCTGCCTTAGCTGGCCTAGGATGTTATTTCTCTAAGCCTGAAGTTGAATGGCGGCTTTGCCTAAGCCTTCAGGTCGTTGCTCCCCTCATCCTCCTTTCCGGATCTGCCTGGCTTCCAGAATCTCCAAGATGGCTTCTTTCACAAGGCCGAGATCAGCAAACTTTGGATATTCTGCGAGACCTACATGACCAAGGAGATGGTTCCTCTGGTTATGGCGCGAATGAAGAATTCTACCAAATTTTAATTCAACTAGAGCTTGAAAAGAAGGACGAAGTATTTGGAATCTGGGATATGTTGAAGCGACGATCATACCGAAAGAGAATACTAGCTGGGCTATTGATTGAGTCTGTTCTTCACTACCAGGTACAACATCGTGTTCTCAGCTTACCTAGCGTATAGATTTGCCTCTCAGTCTACCGGCGTCCTAGTCATCAATAACTACCAAGTTCTCCTCTATAACAACCTCGGACTTTATGGCTGGCTCCCACTTCTCCTCTATACTATATTTTCAGCTTGGGGTGCCTTTTCAAACTGGGTTAACTCCTTACTACTCGATTGGCTCGGACGGATCCCTGTTCTCACTTATGGCCTCATAGGCTGTATTTCTGTGATGATTGTAGAAACAGCCCTAGTGGCATCCTATGCTTCAACATCAAACAAAGGAGGCAACGCAGCAGCTATCTTGTTTCTCTTTCTCTTTATCATGTTCTACGGAGGGACACAAGATGCCAGCAGTTACGTGTACTGCAGTGAGATATTTCCGACCAGAGTGAGAGCTCACGGGTTAGGGATATGCATTGCCGGCCTCTTCGCAACGGCTCTTTTATATACCCAGGTTTATCCTACGGCTTTCGACAATATTGGATGGAAGTACGTTGAAAACCTGTTGCGAGTATTTGAAACTCGAAGTACCTTTCCTGGTATCACTAACTAATGTCAGATATTACATCGTTTTTATCTTGGTTCCCGCTGCATGCGTACCATTCGTCCGACGCCTCCCGGAGACCAATGGTCTGTCACTTGAGGAAATTACAGCAAAATTTGGAGACGAGGTTACGACCAATATTCAGGACCTCACTGATGATTGCCGTGATATAGTTAACAATCGTCTTTTAGCAGTCGGGCTCAGTATTCCCCAGGAAAGAATGAGACATACAGAAATTATGGAAAAAGTGGCAACACACCATAACGAGACAGTTCTCAACAGCCAAGTTAGACCGAATAACTTTGAGTAGAGTTGTCTTACGTTCAGCCTTCAGGCCTCTCAAATATCAATTGTATATTTGTATTATTTGTATCCGAAATCTATATCGGGGTTGGATTTTTGTAGTTACAAATGTTGACACTTCATGAAATCTGGCATTTGAAACGGTTCTAATCCGAAACGAATGAAATATATAAACTTGTGATAAATGACTAGTGTCAAAATATTCTACTCTAATGGTTTAGGGGGTAGTCCGGAAATGTCCGAAAATTACAACTAACAGGCCAAAAATGCCGCGCCAGAAAGTGACGAAAATATGAGCATATATTAACTTTTTTTTTAAAAAAAGCAAGTTTATCTTTTATGATAAATAATAAAAAATGATTTTCAAGTTTCATTCACTGATATAATGAGTTAGTTTATTTCTTTAAATATCTGAATTTTCTAAAAATCTGGTTCGATTATTATGATTAGGATGGCCATGGAACAGGAATGTAGGATCTTAAGGCCTGAAAATATATCTATTGTAAGGCTCCTTGGCACTGCCAACCTCTAAATGCCAAAAAGTAATACTGAGGTAATTGGGCCATTGCCCAATTCCAGGGTTGGCACGCTTATAAGCCTCTGTGAGCCTGCAGCGCTCTCGCTGCTGCCAGGCCTCACATCTATATGGAAAACTAAAAAGGTAAAATAATTTTTATTAAAAGTATATTTAATTTAATCTAATAGAATTGAAAAGTTTAAAAATATTCTAAAAATTAATTATAATATATTATAATTAATACTATAAAATCTTAGATATAATATTAGTATTCCTTATCTTATTATATATACTTTTATCTAATTAAATTAAATATTAATAATCTAAGATAGAAACTTAGATATATAAACTTAATTTTTTATTTTAAAAAAAAAACAATTAAATAATATTTTTTATATAATTTTTGATATAATTTTTAATATAAGTTTACTTAGCTGTAACACGGTCTGGCAGGACCGTGTCCGGGGGTGTCTGGATAGACTCGATGTGGGTGAGTTGAAGCTTCACCAATTGATATCGATGCTATAGAGCAATGCTACTAGGGAAAGAGTTATTGATTTAGATTATATAATTAGAGAAGGCTTTGAGCCGAAGGTTATTTAAAGCCAAGTAGGCTTATATTGAAAGTTATATTAAAGATTATACAAAAGATATTGCTTGGTCTCCTCTCTCTGGATAGGAAACCAAGCCTATATGCCTAGGTTTCTATCTTAGATTATTGATATTTAATCTAATTAGATAAAGGCATATATAGCGAGGTGAGGGGTACTGACATCATGTCCGGGGTCTTATGGTATCAATTGTGATATATTATAATTGACCCTGGGGTATCTCTGAGCCCCCCGGTCCTGCCGGATTAGGCTTGAACATGCTCCCTGGGTCTATCCCTGTTACATTAGCTTTGAATAGTTTTTAATTTAAAGCCTTTCCTAATTATATAATTTAAATTGATAACTTTCTTTCTAGTAGTCTTACTCTATAGCATCAATATTAATGGGTGAAGCTTTAACTTATCCACATCTAGTCTATCCAGACACCCCCGGACACGGCCCTGCCAGACCGTGTTACACTTCCTAAAAAATCGTACGAAATGAGTTACTTAGTAACTCTGACATCTTTATTGGAATTAAATCTCGAGACATAGGGCAAATTAAGACCTTCTATATGAATTAAATAGACATTTTGTCTCTGTGTACCTCGGATCTTATAAGAAATCCTTTTCTCCTTCTACTACATAAACTAATGAAGGTAGGATTCACACTTTCCCATTCCTGATCGAAAGTAGCCGATGATTTCATCACAAGAGATAAGAATTCAAGTAAAAGATTGAACCGAATCCATGGTCTTGATTATTCCCTATTGGTTTAAGGACAAGGGCTCGAACCCGACGTTTCCTCCGACAAACATCTTTCAAATATGATTGAAAATTCTACGTGGAGACAATCATCCTGGCTTATATGATATGTAGAATGCAAAATAGACTAGGCTAAATAGTGATTAAAATGACACTACCTATTTCTTTGTCATGAGCTGTACGAACTTCTTATCTAAAGACCGTTCTATGTCAATTAGTTTCCCAAAAACACAACAGAAAGAATGGAAGCAACAGTCAATAGTTTTATCACCATCCTTATCTACTAGTCTTATCATCTCATTAATATCGTCCTCACTCAAATCTTCACCAATAGAAGCGCATACTTGATACAGTTCTATTGGTTCGTGTTATTCTCATTCTGGACCAAGCTGCGTGATAATGATTATTTACCTTGTCAATATGTTTTAGGGTAGGAGGTATTCGTAATTGAAGAACAGGTTATATCTATTGAACATCCGCAGATTTCTATTCTATTGAAAGCTCGAGGTCTGAAAGCATACTGTCCCAGTCAAGGGTTCCCACATCAACACCTTGTTCAAAACTCTGCGCCAGTCCATTGAAGTACGTAGAAAGATCTTCCCCATTCTTTGGTCTCTCATGTACGATATCCATGTCTTCTAAGTCGTTGCTTCCCAAGGGAGGCAGCGATCCCACCGCCGCCTGAGTATTGGTTGTGTCACACACCTGTGCACCGTCATCATACATGTCCCTCGAATTGACCTGAGCAGCAGGCTTACACACTTTATACTTGTTCACAACGCACATCAGCGACTCCAGAAACTTCGCTGCAGTCTCCGACTCGTGTCTCGAATGTTCTAGAATTCGAATCGCATCCAGAATCTCCCCACTCAAAGTATCACGCTGCGTCGAGGAGTTGGTATGATTGATACCCATGAGAAGAACTATAACACTTGCCATGAAAACCGATGTCAGGATTCCAAGGAGTTTGTAGCGAGTTGCGGTGAAGAGTCCCGAGTTGCTGAGCAAAGTTTCGGTCTTGATGATCTGTCGTGCAGAGTGTAGGCAGATGTCACGAGATGCAGCATACTCAGCTCGACAAATCCGCGACTAAAATAGGGAATGTGAAGTCGGCATCGTTGTGACCAGGTTAAAGAGTGAAGGCAGAAGCCCTGTTGAACAATGCATATAGCACGTAACGGACTCAGCTGATAAGTGGCTTCGAGTTTGATAGTTTCCATTGAAAAAAATGAAGGAATATCATTAATGAATAGTTGCAGCTCTGTGTCAATATCCACTACAACGAATTAGAGCCGTGTTTTCTTCAAAAGTCAAGAGTTGAGAATATGAAACTCTTTTCGGGAAGCTTAATAGCGCGAAATCAGGACTTGGAAACAAAGAAAGGAGTTGGTTACTGATAAAATTATGGCTCAGTTCCCCAGCGTATGACATCGTCAGCGCGTTGCGGTCGATCAACTTACGCATGATTTCGGCGATGCGAATCCGTTGCAGTGGGTAAGACATCACGGTTGGCCATGACAATGGCTTCTGATCTTGAGACATTCCATCCACAAGGCCTTCGTCGTTGAGATTCAACGGCCTTTTTACTACCATCTGCCTTGGGTGACAGTGATATACGCCGCGTACAGCAGCATCGAACCTGGCTGGAGCTTGCCTAAAACGCATTAGCCGACCATTCTTCCAGGTAATAAGACACATACCAATCAGAAACAACGAGGTGCCACCATAATCTTCGCCCCATCTCTGTTCGCGCGAGATTTACTGCGCCTGCATTCGATGGATGACCTAGGACATGAAGCCCCGCATCTCTCGCGAGCAAGAGAGCCATGTTAAACAACGCCTTACATCTCCTTGAAAATCCACTAATGCTTAGGACCACAAACGCAGCAATAGTAACACCTTGAATACCTTCCATAGACACGCCCATGGTTTGGTGGGTAATGTCCAGAACGTGCTCGAGAGCCTTCACCCATGAAGGCGCTTGGGCGTTAGCTTCCGCGCACGTAGAGAATAGGCGGCGGTCGAAGTCGAATTGTTTCCACGAGTTGGTAGCGCCTGCAAAAATTCCGAGGAAGAGTAAAATAAAGGCCCTACCATGTTTGGTGACTGAATTCGGAACACTGAGACAGGCATACGCCCTGGAGAGCAGAGCAGAGAGAGAAGGGGTGTACACGATGTGGTGGATATGATCGACGTCTTGCACGTATTTTCGCTTCTGAGTATTGTGGGAGCCAGATACAGCGCACTGGCTCAAATGATGTTGTAGAACGATTTATATAGGCAGGTGCCTTTGTAATTTGCCCAATTGGAGAATTCTTCAAGACCAGGTTGTTTGAGAGTATTTTGTCTTGCTGGGAATTGTTTGTTATGGCTGTGGATGAAAAGTGAGAAGACTTCCCAGTTGTTCACTATCACTGTATATACTCTCCAAGTAGGCAATATCCCTGTTCAAGGTTTCAATTTCTGGGGGTGTAGCTTCAGGTGTCTTCTCAGTTCAGGAGACACGGTTGACCCTAAAGGAGTCCCTTGGCTTGAATGCGGCGGCGTTACAATCTCGTTCTGACACACTTTCTGGCTTTCAGCCAACCGTTCTAGCTTGCGGACTCTTTCAAGTAGGTTGAACTCGAGAGAACGAGCAAGGCCAGAAGGAGGCCGAACAGCGTTTTCTAATTCGCAAGTCACACCGCGAGAGGCGCAATTGGAACATGGGAACTCTCGACCTCTCGATTGCAGCGCAGTTTCCATGACCTGCAGGACGGCAGGATACGGGCTGTTGGCGGGTCGCGCGCTTTTGCTGGCCTTTCGGCATGTTGGTCACCAATAACGGATTATCCGTGGAACGGTAATGGAATTGACGATCGAGGAGGAGAAGGTTGCGAGATTGGGATTGCACGATAGTGCCAATGCATGTGGCAGATATCTCGTTTGTCAGATTAGTAGTAAGTGGAGTCTCAAAATCGGATTATCCGCGGAGCTTCCGCACAGCTTTGTCAGAGTATAGGGAATTCACACGGGGAAAGCAGCTGCACAAAGAGAGCTACCATATTCCTGCTAGTTAGTTTATCTTTGCACGCTTCCCTCATTGCATACAAATCATCTGCAAATGACTCCCACCGAACCTTTCTTCTTTCAGGTGTGACAACCATGGCTACTATGGACCGCACCAAAAGTAGCACTCCCGTGCATGATTTCCGGACCGTCCCTGAAAAAGCCGGACAGGCAGACTCCGATCTCAGTGGTGAGATGGAGCGGAGTCCTGATGAAGTTAGAGAGACAATTCCAGACGATGCCACAAAAGTGGGAGACACTGGCCCTTCGGATGGCGGCGCCGCTGCATGGTTGAATGTCCTGGGAGCGTGGTGAGCTCCTTCTCAAGCCCTGGTTAGGCCAACAGTACGTATTTTCCCTCTTTCCGATGCCTCTCGAGGCTCCCGCCTTGTAGTTTCCAGGAGCGATCCAATTGACTAACAGTCATGGTTTTCCATCAGGCGTGAGTAGCTTCCAGCAGTACTACAAGATTGGGCCTCTGAAAGATTACTCCAGCAGCACCATTTCCTGGATTCCGGCGCTTCAACTCTTCTTCTTGTTCGCCTTGGGCCCTTTCGTCGGTATAATATACGACAAGTACGGACCGAGGCCGCTCATCCTTGGAGGGACAATTTTTCACGTCTTTGGGCTAATGGTGGCGTCTTTGGCGAAGAAGTACTACCAGTTCATGTTGTCCCAGGGAGTGTGTAGTGCCATCGGTATGGCATGTTTATACATGCCTGGTAAGTTGAACCTGCTTGCCCTTCTTTGCATGTTCTATGCTGACTCAGTCCTGTGCGATGAAGCAATTACTTGTGTCTCGACCTGGTTTAACAAGAAGCGCGGATGGGCCATGGGCATTCTAGTGACCGGTTCATCAGTTGGGGGTGTCATTTTCCCCCTGATGATCAGTCACATAGTCCAGACCACCAGATACCCTTAGACCATCAGGAATGCGGCCTTCATCATCCTTGGTTTGCAGATCATAGCAGTCTTCACAGTTCGGCCGAGAACGAAGCCTGTGCCCAAGGAGCTCCCCGCTGGTCGCCTTGCTGCTCCTTTCCTGGAGTTCCCGTTTGTTCTGTTGCTAGTTGGCATCGGAATCTTGACGTACGGCATATTCACACCTATTGTCTATCTGGCTGTTCAAGGCTTTCAGGAGGCGCACATGTCGGAGGAAATGTCCCAATACTTGGTGTCCTTTTTCAACGCAGCAAGGTAAGACACCAGCTAACCTTGTCACTGGCCCGCCTGCTTCCCCCAATAAAACGCTGACGTCTATACCCCAAAGCCTCTTCGGCCGTCTAACCGCCGGCCACAGCTCCGATAAATTTGGAAGGTGGAATATGTTCATCTTTGTTTGTGCTGTTTCCGGAATCTCTATATTCGCTGTCTGGATCCCCGCCACGCACTCGTCCATCGCCATCGGCTTCTCTATTATGTTCGGCTTCACGTCAGGAGCCTTTATGAGTCTCTCCGGCGCCCTTCCGATCGCAGTGTTCCCGCTACCCGAGATCGGGTACCGGCTAGGCTTAGTACTCCTTGCCATTTCGAATCCCGCCCTCACCGTAGCACCCATAGGCGGAGCCATCCTACAAAGCTCGGGCAACGCCTGGCTAAATGTAAGGATTTTTGGTGGCGTCATGTGCCTTTTGGGTCGACGGTGGTGTTGATATCCAGATGGCTCTATACCGAGAAGAAACTTCTCAAGGTGTTTTGAGTGTAAAAGTAGCACATCATCAAATCGTTGGATCGTCTATAACGCAAATGCATGGTTATAGGCAACTGTGAATACAAATGATATGTCTATATTGTTAATACTGTTAGAAAGCCCTATTTTTCTAGATTCCAAATATATATTTCATGTGTTAATAAATCTATTTACTGCTAAGATTGTTAATAATCAATATATTCATCTTGTGTTTGATATAGTTCTGAAAAGAGAAGGATATCAAGTGAGTTCTAATTATATTCAAATTTCCATTACATAGACTGATTATATTCAGATTTCTACCTCATAATCTGTATCTTATTAATATTAATCCTAATTAATATAAAAATTTATATATTTATTTATTTATTTAATCATGTTTAACGACCTTACCCAGCTATAAGCTATGAATATCTTATTTCAGTGGATATTAGAAGGCTTTATAAAGACTTAAACCTCTAATTCCTTTTACTATCCATCTTAAACTCCACATCCTTGCTGTCCAAGTCCGGATCGCTGGCAGAATCGTCGTCGAACTCATTATCCGACAAGACCTCACTCAGGACGGAGCTAACATCGCTCTCGCTCTCGCTCTGGTTCTCTTCGTCAAGGACCGTCATGTCGGAAGAGAGGAAGGAATGAAGTAATGCCGAGAAGCGAGGGGAAAGGGGGGGAGACGGTGGAAAAAGAGGCCAATGATGGAATTGAGGAATCGGCGGAGAGTGGACGCGGGCTAGAAATGAAGCCTCTAGCAGTGTAGGAAAGCAACAACAACAACAACAACAATAGGGTGGACCTGCCTCGTGGGGAATAATAGTATTTGTTAAACAGAGGGCCAAACGGCTAGTTAACTAGTTAACTCAAATTTTTACTCTACCCGCCTCTTCTTTCTTGCCTTAATTGAGTCTTTCCAGCTAGTTATAATTTTGGGCGTTTGTGTGTATACCCACTCCAGACAGCAATCGCCCTCTACCTTTTTCATCGGATTCGCTCGCCAATTGTTATTTTATACTGATATACGTCATACTGACAGTCTACGATTGTTCTTGGAATATCACTTATTGATTGCGTCGTGCATATATACAGTCGTAGGCCTTCGCAAGATATAACATGTCCCATGCCGATTCCCGTCTCTATCATCCCAAAGTCCTGATCAATACCCGGATCTATCCCCCAGCCGACCCTCCACAAAATCGAAACTTCTGGTCGGCATACGGCAACGATCACTTTAAATAGTCATCATTACTCTTCGCCCTCATTTCGACGCCAGACCTTCGCCCTGGAGTGCAGGAACATGGTCGGGATAATGCTGATAGCGACGACGAGCGCAGAACCGATACCCGCACTTGGAGCGACTCCAACATTCTTGAACATGGGAGAAAACCTGAAGGGAGGGTTAGCTATACAGTGCAAGTACCACCAGAGTGATTGAAGAGGTGGCTTACCAAAAGGGGCCAATAAACCCCCAGGTCTGGCGCACGAAGGTGATGAACACACCAATGCTGGCGGCCTCCTGGGGGTAGCAGTCGACGGAATAAGTGATCATGACCGTTGTTACCAATTGGTTACCGACCGCACCAATAGCAGTGCCGATTATGGGAGACACATTCCAGTGGCCGGCTGGCGAGTCCTGAGTGCAGACCAGGAAGACGATAATACCGATAATCGTCAGGGCAAAGCCAAAGTAACTGAGCCACAGCCGGAACTCGGGGTCAGGCTTGCGGTCGATATGCCGGGCGCGTCGGCTCATCCAGAAGTCTGACAGCACACCACCCATCTGTTCGCCAATTACCGATCCAATGATGACACCCAAGAACTGGAGGCCTAGCTGCTCGGCATTCAGCTCAAACTTCTCTTGCAACAGCTGAGGCACCTCAATGGTCGCAAGGACACTACCAAACAAGAAGACCATGGAATATGCACAGGCGGGGATGAGAATGGATGGGTGGCGGGCCATGGTCAGAGGTCGGACGAACTCCCACCAGGTCAGCGGGGTGGGATCAATCCGCCGAATTGACAGATACTCCGTCTTCCAGTTTGCCTGTGGACGGTTAACACCGCTGCCAACATACCGAGTCTCAGGTCCGAAGAAGAGATATAGGATGAATTGTCCACCATTGATCTGTCACAGTTATACCTCGTCAGCATGGCACTAACGACACCTACCCCCCAATCCACCTTTGGGAGGACTTACCATAGCCAGGATCCAGTAGATCCAGTGATAATCCGTACGGTAGGTGACGAAACCGAAAAGGAAGGGTCCGATTGGCACTCCCAAAGTGATCATCAGGGTCCAAACACCCATGTAGCGGGCACGGTATTTCTTGAAAGTGGTTTCCATCACCACAGCGCTGCCGATGGCCGAGGCAGGTGAGATGAAAAATGCCACTAAAGCCCGGCAGGCAGCGACTGATGCATAGGTAGTGCTTTTGGCACAGCCAACGTTGCACACCAGACTGCAGGCGAGTGACAAGAGGAAGATGGGGCGGCGACCGAAGCGGTTTGACAATGGTTTCCAGAACAGTGGAGCGCCTCCCAAGATGGCGATTTGCAACGAAGTCAGGTAACTAGCATTTTGCAAGCCAACACCGAATTCCTCGGCGATGTCTGAAAAGGCAGGGATAATAGCTGCGGCAGTGAAGGTACCCATACAAGCATGAAATGCCACGAGGATAAGATTGGTCATTTTCTACAATGTCGAGCATCAGCACCTCGTCTCTCCTCACTCTCCTTTTCACAGTCAGTCAACCAGGGGTAGATCGTTATTCACCTTCCATTCAGGCCAGTTGTAAGGGTCGTCCGGGCCCATGCCTGGGATCGGGTCCAGTTCCAGTGTGCCATGTCGTTGGCGCAAATAGTACTGATGGGCTTTGGGAAGACGAGCAGCCACGGACTCGTCGTAGCTGGCCGGCTGGTCGGCCCCTGCGCTCTCGACACAGTCAATGTCGACCTTGGTATCCAAAGGCTTCTTAACTTGTTTGGTCTGGTCTTCTAGACAAGAAGAGGAGGGTTGTAACTCAAAGGATGTCATGTTGGGGGCTGTCGCTGAGGGTCGAAGACGATAAGATTAAACACTGCTGCTTGGATGTTCCCCACCCCCCTTTTTTTTGAAGTTACAGAGAGAATAGGAGGTGATAGAAGGATCGATTGAAGTGAGTAAGGACTACGGGGCTGGGGGCGCCTGGGGATTTCAACGAACTGGGGAGTCATATTATGCAGCCCGTTGGGTGACAGCGAAAACTATGCTAAGGGGTTGGTATGCTGAAGATCGTCGGGAGTGACCGCATAACTGTCCAGACTTCTGGGAGACATAGGAGCCAGGGTTATTCTCTACTAAGCTGATCGACTTGCCCGGAGAGGAATGTGGACGGTCTCCAGGGGTGGGTTGGTCCAGTTAGGACCGACGAGTCACGATGAAGGTGTTGTAACCCTGGATATCAACCCTTTTAGTCACAGCCCATCCCAGCACCACAGGATGGCAAGCTGATGGGGTATCGTCCCTGCCAGGACGGCACAACCAGCTTGTCCAAGTACCGAGCAGCTCAGGACGAGTCGCATCATCCACTACAAATTGTCGTATCGCAGAAATAGGGTTTGGGGTGGGCAATGCACGTGGGCTGATCTCTCATGCCAAGTACGCCAAGCCGGTTTGTTTCACGACATATGATTCGATATTCTCCCTCCCCCACTCTTCCGCGACCCAAGCCAAAAGCTTCCATGAACCCATTTTCTCCGCAAATTGGTGCCTGCTCCGGTTTGGATATAGTACCTTCCACCGAAATGTAATCAAAATACCCTTTTTATTTCCGAGGTCGCATCAGCCCGACATGGTTCTAGGATTTCGGACCCTGCATTGGAGCAAGCCTTGGATTTCTCGGACTCTCAATGGCTATCGTGGACCACAATAAACCATGTGATCATTATGTGGTGTCGGAATATTTGGCACTAAGTATTTTGGGAATAGGTTCCAAACACCCAAAGTTACGAAAAACGCGACAAAACGCTATGCTAAAAAGTGACCCAAATTTGTTACTGACACCTTAACCCTTACGACCAATATTAGTGTCAGTTTGCCACTATACTCAATTTTTTCTAACACGCAAAAAATCCGACAAGTAGTGTTTCGTTCCGTGTATTCATTTAACTCGGACCAGCCTTTTCCGATGGCCAACAGCTCTTGGCAGAGAGCTAGTGTATCGTTGAAACCTTCAGCAGGGATAACATCTTACAGGCTGTGTCCGATTGGTAAATATTTACCCGACCCAAAATATAAGCAGCGATATGCCAGTGTACATATATATACACGTATGCGTATAATTCAAGTCCTATCAAACTTTCGCATTCTACAAGATATTTCAAGCTACTACATACCTTGCCTCAAAATAGTGACAAAAGCTTCAACACGATCCAAGTCATGAAGATGACAACTCTCAAAATGAGATTCCTATTTGCGGCCAGCCTTATTTCCCTAGTCCGGATGGGGACAGCTGCACAAGGGTCCAACTACAATGTCACCGAAAGCTTCGAAGAAGCCCATAGTTGTGGCTCCAAGTGCCAGAGTGCCTTGAACAACGCAAATCCAATCGATCTCGCTACCTTTGGCGAAAATTTCGACTTTGGTTTCTACGAGACAGCTGCCAACTTTTCTGGTTCAAAGCCAGGCGACCTCTTGAAACTCCAGCCTCTGGATCCTGCAACTCTCCAGATTAATGCAGGGACGACGGTATATCGAATTCAATACACATCCCGCGATCTCGACGGGTCACCAGTGCCCGCTACTGGTTTCATTGCTCTTCCATATACACCGGCAAAGGAGAATTCTAGCACGTATCCCGTCGTGGCCTACGCGCATGGAACCAGTGGAATCTACCGCGGGTGTGCACCGTCAAATAGCCCGAACCTTTACGATTACAACAGTTGGCAGCTCCTCATCGAAAGAGGATATGCCGTAGTCGCCACGGACTATGCTGGCCTGGGAAACAATTACACCCTTCATAAGTATGTTAGTTATCCGGCGCAAGTGAACGACATCTATTTTTCCATGATCGCCGCTAGAAAGACATTCGACATCTTCTCGGACAACTGGATGGCAGCTGGCCATTCCCAAGGAGGAGGAGCAGTGTGGAAATTGGCTGAGAGCGACTATGTCAAGTACGACAAACATTATCTTGGCACGGTTGCACTGGCACCAGCTGCCAAGGTCGTAGACATGTTTCTGGCCGACAGGGACGAGGTCATTTCCTCTGGCTACTTGCCCCTTCATGCCAAGGCGTATCAACGCGTGCACCCATCGTACAATTTGACTATCCTCTCAGATACCATGCGGGACCGCATGGCCATTTCTGACAAGGCGCAGCTTTGTCTGGTTGCCTTGGGAGCCCTGTCCTCTGACTTGACAGTTGACGAGAATATCTCACAGGAAGGAGTTAAGACAGATATACCCCTCCTGCTGAAGTGGCAAAATGAGATGGCTCCAGCCTCTGGAGGACACAACTCTCAACCCCTCCTGGTCGTTCAGGGTCTGAATGACACTGCGGTTGTGCCATCCGTAACTCGGGCTCTATGGAATAGTTCGTGCGGTGACGGAAATGAGGTCCATCTCAGCGAGTATCCCGGGATGAATCATGATCAGGTCATTCCTGCTGCCGCACCAGAGTGGCTGGCCTGGGTGGACGCGCGATTTGCACGACAGTGCACTTCTGGGAACTGCTCTATTGTGCAGAAAACGCCGTTCGATCTGAAGTATGTGGAATTAGCACCAGGAACCTAAAAGTAAGGAATATATATCACGTAACGTAATGGGACAGCCACCCGCCTACTTGCTTCTGAATTACGCGATCCATATGTAACACGGCCTAGCAGGGCCGTGTCCGGGGGTGTCTAGAAAGACTAGATGTGGGTGAGGTGAAGCTTCACCACTTGATATCGATGCTATAGAGTGGGGCTATTAGAGGGACAGTTATCAGTTTAGATTATATAATTATAGAAGGCTTTGAACTAAAAGCTATCTAAAGCTAAGTAAATTATATTAAAAGATTATATGAAAGATATTATTTAGTTTTTTCCTTTTAAATAGAATATTAAATATATTTATATTTATAATAGTGTAATGAGCCAGGCTAGTATACATGTCTTATCAATCTATCTTGGAGACCTTGGTCTTGATTAGGTGCACCTCTTATCGGGCATTATATGCCTTTATCTAGTTAGATTGGGCATCAACTATCTAGGCTGGGACTCAGGCTTATAAGCTTGATTCCCCTTCCTTCGAGGGGAATCAAGCGATATCTTTTATATAATCTTTGACATAACTTTCAATATAAGCCTACTCGGCTTCGAACAGCCTTCGGTTCGTAGCCTCCTATAACTATATAATCAAAACCGATGACTTCCTCCCTAGTAGCCTTGCTCTAAAGCATCAATATCTAGCGGTGAAGCTTCAACTCACCCACACCTACAGTCTCGCTAAAAAGTATTCGCGTTTTTCCGCGCACCCACGACACGCTCAATTTTTTTTCTCTTTTTTAACCCCCCTCTAATCATGCCTCATACCCCTCTAAGACAGATTGATCTTAATTCTAGATAAAAAGATGAGTTAAGTCTTTATATAAGAAATTAAATTATTACTTATCATAAAAATAAAATTAAAGTTATTGATATAATATATTAGTTTTAAATTCCTTTCTTAATAATTAAATTCATTATATTATAAGATTTTAAATTCTATAATGAAAAGTTAAAGCTTACTTAAGTAGACTAATTATATTATCTTCTAAAGATCAGTAATGAATTCTTATTAAAATTAAATACAATCTTTTTCTAATTTTTTTAGATACTTGTGTTTAAATTAATATTATATGATACCCCAGATCGGCACCATTGATCCACATATGCTCCAGGTTGCTCTTTCACCTCTCCTAAATTTACAATGAAGTGCTCCATTTCCCACAGCTAATTGTTCATATACATTCATGTATCGTAATGCACTAACACTTTCGTTCCCGCATCAAAGAATCTTTCATCATATACTCTCTGTCACTTATCATCATCCTTATACTCATGTTTCAATGGCTTGCAACCATCCCTTGACTATGGCCATTTATAGCTCTGGCTGCAGAATTTTGGCCGCAGAATTTTGGCAGAGGTCGTTTGAGAGGTTCTGTAAGGCACATTCACTGTTATGCCACAACACAGCCATGATGATACAGAACTCAAGGACCAAACCTGTAATGCCACGCCGACAGCACGCACTAGTCTAACGCCAATATCCTTTGTTCCGAAGAGCGGATCTCAGCACCTACTGATCTCCATTCAACTGACTTGGTTACACCGTCTTCAGCTCTAGGACCGTAATATACGAATTTAGAACGAACACACGAGGACCGCCGCACAAGCATTCTTGAGGTTACCTAGGATCTATAGACTAGTGTGGAAAGTGTCTCGCAGATGGAAGTACTAGCCAGCCGGACGCTTCTATTGTCTCGAAGCACAATACAACATGTCAACCTGAGAAATCGGCGAATACGCAAGGCGACCATTCGATACGTGCCTCAAACGTGCCTCCTCCGATAGCGGTGGTTATACCAGCTCCGTCACATCGCCTCACCACATCCTAAAACGCTCATTACCATTTCACGATGGGGCTGGCTAGCCCCGATGCTAGAAGATGACAACGATTCGGATTCGGACTCGGTTCCATCAGAGCATGATGCGGACTACATTGACGAGAAACAGCTGCCTCCCCCCGAAGCGACACAGAAGCAATCCGGGCGAAAACCCATCGCCATCTAGAAGATTAACACGACTGCCGTCTGAGACTTGCCAAAATGAGCCAGCGCGACAGGTGTTCAACCTTGAAAGTGAAGCCATCCCCGTTTAATTGTCACTGAATGCCTAGCGTATCTACGTAGTCATTCAACTCAAACCAGTAGAATTTGCATCCGCGGTCTCTTGCATTCCATATTGAGCCCAGAATGATTTGGAACCGCAACCGCATCTGCTTTGAGAATGTGATGACATGCTCACTCCTTTCAATTGCCCTTATTCTTGAATCTGTCCCAAGAAGTTCGAAGCAGGAAACCAGATAAGCAAGTTCTGTGCATGGGATAGATCGTTGGGTTAATTGGAGTACCATCTCAAACTCACCAATAATAGCCTGGGATAGCATAACAGCCTCTAGGTCATATTGCCCATAGGGATGATATAGCCGACGAATGATAAGTAAAGCAGCAAGACGCAGGACTCTGGATTGTGCCAATATTGCCACAACCTCGGCTTGTGTAAAATGATCAAGAAAGTCGACAGGTGTTGACGGCTGCCATTGGTCGACACCGGCGTGTATTGCATTCAATCTTTGAAGGATCTCTGGAAGCACTGCTTTTGCGTGTCGAATCGAGCAACTTATCTCACAGATGTCGTAGAAGTAAGTTAATATCGGGGAGCTGAGTCCAAGATAGCGATCGACTCTGTCTTTTCCATCAAGGTCAACTCTCATTGTCGGAATGCTTGATCGCAAAAGACACTCAAACGTCTCCGTACTGGTCAAGCACATAAGAAAGCCTATCATGGAAGGGTCTAGCGTTGATAGATCCATATGTTGAGATTTGATGAGACTCAGTGTATAATGCGAAATGAGATACGGTTGACCTTCTGCAACATGCATCGCAAAGGTAACCATTGCGACCCCTAGTATCAGTGCCGTTACCAAGTCCCGCTCGCCGGATATTTTGAAAGAGCGAAGAGCAGACAGCGCCAGGGCAGCACGTCTGTGTCCTATCTCAACACTTGGCTTGGAGTACTCGGGGAGTTGATCTCTAAAAAAAACTGCAGCACATGCAACTGTAGCATTTCTGACGACGGATGTCGGTTGGATGATATTCTGGATGAACAAAGAGTGATCCGACTCGTGAAAACTTGGACACACGAGAAATTTGTCCAGGGGTGATGGAGCCAGAATATCTTTCATCAAATTCAAGAAGTGACGTTCCACAGGATCCAGATCTGATAATATCATTGGATTACTCGCAAGTCCCGAATTCCAAGATAGGCATGGGAGAGACAGTGCCGTTTTCTCGCACGTTGGAAACGAAGTGAGCGCAATGGAGGCGGATGAAGTTGGAAGCGTATAAGGCACTTTTTTCGACATCTTCGATTTCCGTCCCGGCTTTACAGCGCATCGTACTGTCTGGCAATACTGTCCTATGCGGGAGCATCTTTCGCACACAGCAGAGGGATCTGACCGTCGGCATTTCTCTTTCACTGCATGGCATTCATCACAGGCACGCTTCGTAGGGCCTGAGGTGGCCATGATGCGATTTTTAGCGGTGATACAATTACAGAGATCCCGTTGGCCATATAGCTTGAAATCACGGTATGTTCTTGTAAAAGACTAAAAGACTCCCAGAGCGGGCATCAGTATTCTGTTTCATGGACTAGCCGTTACCATAACTTACTGAGAGAATTCAGAGAATTGTTGTTATCTGGCAGAGCACGATCTGTAATACCGGCTGTGGTCGTCATATAATTTCAGCTGTCTCTAGTTGAAATCTTCATGTTAGTAGGCAACTGGTATCGGCAGCGAGGAGGAATGGGTGAAGCATGGAGGGAAATGATCCAAAGCTCGGGTGGACCAGGTTAGAGGCCAGACAGTGCTTGCAAAAGTCGGGTTCCGCGATACCTGTCAGAAAATGCTTACCTTACTAATCCAAAATTGACCAATTAGAATGCACGGATTTCCACTCTGTCTACTGCTTATACTCAACGACGATTATTTTATTAGGTTCAACACCTAATCATACAAATCAAACAGATCAACTGCATGATCTTGTAATCAAAATGCACATGTTTTGACTATAAATTTGCTGTTGTTTTCATGCATCTAGTTCTCAGACCTTCAGACCTCTATAATATCAATTCTCTGTTTGCATTGTTTGAATCGGGCACCTACTAAAAATCCCGACATTTTAAGTTATCGTACCCGAGGTGACAAGCGGGTGACGGCCTGTTACTAATCCAACATATGCAAGGCTAAGGACAGATTGGGATGATTCAGGCTACTTTAGGATAAGCATCTGTTAAAGTGGCTAACACCATAGTTAATCAATTATTATGATGGGGCACTGTCTGTTTACTATCTATATAAGAATATATTTTATATAAGCTTCTATATTTAATATATAATAAAGTATAAAGAAGGTGGTGATTAAATATATAATTAATATATAATTAGTATATAATAAAAGTATATTGATTATAAAGAAATTATAGAAGAAGTTAAATCTATATAAATATATTTATTTTTATATATTTAATTTATCTTAGTATAGTTTTTTAATATAAATTATTATAATTATTATTATTAGTTATATTATAAGGATCGATAAAATAATTTTATTTCAAATATTATAGTATTTTAAAATATTACTTTTATTTTAATTATATTTTATCTTTATTGTTATTTTTTAATAACTTTATATTTTGTTATTAACGATCTCTAAGAAATCTTTATATGGTTTAATATATGATATTATTTCTTGATATAGCTAATAATAATTAGAGTAGATCTTAATATATAATAAAAGAATTATTATTTTAACTCTAAAGAATGATATAGAATAAGTATTATTAATAAAGCTAATTATTATATTAAAAAGTATTATTTTAATAAGACTATTAATCATAGTAGATAATAATATAATTTTAATATTTAATATTATTAAAAGATAAATATTTAATATTTAATCTATAATAATAGTTAATTAATAATTAAAAGAATAGATTAATTAATTAGAGAATATATTATATATAAGAATTAAGATTAATAAATCAACTTTATTTAAAAGAGATAAGATTAAATTAAGAGATTATCTAATATAAATATAGTTATATTTTTTTATTAATTTATATTTATTATATAGAGAATTAGATAAGATCTTAATAGTTTCAATATTCTTAGAAAAGAAAATTATAGATTAATTTGAACTCTATATATAGGTATAATTTGAAATGGCTTTAGATAATAAAGATAATAAAATTAATAAAATCTTTATAGATTATAATATATTTATTAAAAAATTAAATTAATCTTTAAAAAAATTGATAAGAGAAATAATATAGTCTAATAGATTTAATATTTAAAATAGATTATATTAGTCTTAGATTATATATTAAAATTCTATTAAATCAGTTTTTATTTTAGATAGAATGATAAGACTAAAGCAGATTGATTTTATTAAAAACTAAAGGATAAAATTAAAAATGAAATAACTAGAATATTCATAAGATTAGATAATTTAATAGATATAATTGATATAATCTACCTTAGAGGCCGCTGCATCGGGAAACAGCCTCGCCGTGTTATGAAACCAACATATGCAAGACTAAGGACAGATTAGGATGTCTTAGACCACTTCAGGATAAGTGTCTGTTAAAGCAGCTAATACCACAGCTAACCAGTTATTATATCTATATATAATCTATTTACTACTCATATAAGATTATATAATTATATAAATATCTATACTCAGATATATAATAAGAGTATAAAAAAAATATAGAAAGAATAGAAAGATGATTGAATATATAATTGATATATAGATAGATTATAGATAATATTATAAAAATAATATCTATATAAATATACTTATTTTTATATATTTAATTTATTTTAGTATAATTCTTTAATATAAGTTATTATAATTATTATTATTAGTTATACTATAAAGGTTAGTAAAATAATCTTATTTAAAATATTATAACACTTTAAGATATTACTTTTATTTTAATTATATTTTATTTTTATCTTTATTCTTTAGTAATCTTAATATTTTATTATTAATCATCTTTAAGAAATCTTTATATGATTTAATATATCATATCACTCCTCAATACAGCTAATAATAACTAGAGTGGGTCTCAGTGTATAATAAAAGAATTATTATCTTAACCCTAAAGAATGATATAGGATAAATACTATCAATAGAACTAATTACTATATTAAAAAAATATTATCTTAATAAAAACTACTAATTATAATAAATAATAATATAACTTTAATATTCAGTATCATTAAAAAATAAATATCTAATATTTAATCTATAATGATAATTAATTAATAACTATAAAAACAGATTAATCAATTAAAAAATATATTACATATAAGAATTAAGATTAATAAATTAACTCTATTTAAAGGAGATAAAACTAAGCTGAGGAGTTATCTAGTATAAATATAGTTATACTTTTCTGTTAACTTATATTTACTGTATAGAGAACTAGACAAGATCTTAACAGCTTTAACATTTTTTGAAAAAGAAGCTATAGATTGGTTTAAACTCTATATATAGATATGGTTTGAGATAGCCCTAAACAATAAGAAAGATGAGATTGATAAAACTGTAAGGCTCCTTGGCACTGCCAACCTCTAAATGCCAAAAAGTAATACTGAGGTAATTGGGCCATTGCCCAATT